TGGATATATATATATATATATATTTAATATGTAGATTTATTAGATAATTCTTGTAATAGATTATTTATATAGCAAATTTGAACTTTTCACTTCAAAGTACAATAGGAAATGATATGAAAATATGGATTGTAAAATCAGATATTAGTTACCAAAATAGCAAATATTTAGTTTTCCAATAATGTATTTTTCACCCAAGCACAAAACTGATTTTGGTAAAACAGTATTTCAATTTTTTCTCGACAGGTATTATTCATTATTTCGGAATCATTCATTAATTTTTTCATTAGCATGATATACTAATAAAAAATACAGAATAATATTCAATATGGCAAAGCATTTTATATACACTATTTCTTATCATATACCGGTAATTACAAATGATAATCTTTGTTATTTAAAGAAGTTATCTTCATGTTGTATTCACCCCATCTTGCTTATTAAACTGTGTATAAACTTAAACAAGTTTATACACAGTTTAGGCCAGTTCAAATCTATATTATAGTCTTGAAATTTTATAGTATTATTTTATCATTGCTCTTGTAAAGTTTTAAATATGACAGTAACAAAAATCCAGAATGTTGATATAGATATTTAAATCAATGTCAAAATTATGTATCTACAGATGTGATAAGCTAAAAATGACAAAATAATTTATTAAATTCTCTTTACTTGTTTTTGTATTAAGGCTTTCTAGCTTAAGCTGTGTGATAATTAAACAATAATAATAATAATATTGTATCGATTTACGTCGATAATTAACATCTGGTATCAAAAATGAACTCACCTGAGATAATTAAGCAATATTTATTAAATAAAAGTTTTATATGTTATCATCATTTATTGCGCATCAGTATTGTTTCCATTGTCTTTCACAACTTCCATATACCATAACAACATGCAACGAAATGACAAACGCGAACTATCAATAGATAGTACGCCCTCTTACGTCTAGCCGTGTTTGAATGACGTCCATCATACAATATAAAAATGTCAATGCTGATATCGATGATTAAAATGAGAACTGAAAGTGTGTGTAGTCGTTTTATTTAAACTAATTTATAAATTTGATTAAAAAAAAAAAAACATTTAAAGATAATATAAGAAGCGTAATTATATATTCACTTAAGTTAAATTCTTATTCCGCGGATAATAATTGTATAAAGCGTGTTTAAATTTTCTTCTTATCGTTGTTAACGATGAATCCATATTTATATAAATAGTTTCGGAACTAATTTCTTGAAGAAAAACGTTTAATTAGCCATCTAAATATTTAACTTTAAATAAAATTCCATACAAATATTGGTATATTTAAAATTTTTAGAAAAGAGAAAACACTGAGTAATGTTTGTTTGTTAACGCAACGCAACACTCGGGCGATCTGCCTAGGGGGAATGCTTTTTGGGCAAACAAACAAATCCTTAATATTTTATATTGTAGTACATCTTTACTTCAAATAAATTTTAAAAAATCTTAATAATGCCGGGCTGCAATTTTTAATCATATTTTTAATTTATTTAATTTAAAAATATATGATCTCCGCCTCAAATTAGCCCTTATACAGTACATTATACTTTTCCTGTTAGCAATAGTATCATGCCGGTCTTCTAACTCCTTTCAGGGAAACATTTTTGAATTAAAATAACGTGACTTCCTGTTTCCAAGTTTAAGTTAGTTCAATCGGGATCTCCTGCCGCTGAGCTTTCAATATCGGGTCTCGATTTTCATCTATCTAACTTCGTTCTCGAGATTAAGGAAAGACAGACAGACACTCCTGTGGGAATTTATAGATCTACAATTTTTTTAAATTGTAGTCCAATAAATATGATACAATTAAACTTAGTCTTACATAATACTCACTGTTTGCAGATAAGTTAGAAATGGACTAAAAATATTAGATAGAGCATTTTCTCTTAATCTTACAATAAAGATGCACCAATAATAAATACAAGGTGGTTGCAAAAGTTGTTATTATGGAAAAAACATACAGGGAAAAAGTAGGAAGAGAAACATTTTTGTTTTATGTACAAATTAAATCACAAATAAGGAATACGAACTAATAAGAGATAATAAAAATAATAATAATGAACACCAAACATTTGTATTTCTCAGATTCTCAACTGTGTACTTACTTTTGCACCATTCTGTATAATAAATTATTAAAGATTTCCTATTATGCAACGCTACATTATCCCTATCGGCAGATTTTGGAATTAACAACGTTTTTATAAAATTTTTCACTCCATTCCATGGATAAAAATAAAAATAATATAAAAATTTTGGTGTCATTATGTTCCGTTCCGTTTATTAGTTACAGCTACAGAGAGCTCTGAATAGAATAACTTTAATTATAACCACTCTGTTTATATCCATGGTGTATAAATGTATGTATACTCTATATCAGTGCTTTTCAACCTGTGGGTCGCGACCCCCTGCTGGTCGCGAATTCTTACACGGGGAGTCGCGGGTAGAAGAAAAAGACAAGTGTTTGTAGGTCCTACACTACATTAAAAAAACTACAATTTCAGCGAGAATTACGGCNATATGACATTTAAGAAGAATTAAATGTAATCTACAAGAAAAAGTCATAATTAATACACTTAATTGAATCAATATGTACTTATATTTCACCAAATAATAAACTAGATTAATTAAACAAAAATTAGAATATGTACTAGAATGGTAACTAGTCACTTAATATAACAAAGAAAAAAACTTATTTATTTATAAAAAAACAACTCTTAACAAAACATAAATTAAAAAAAATTAAATTAAAAAAACCATAAAATTTGCAATTAAAATGAAAATTTTAAAAAAATTGGAAAACATATTACAGAGACAGCTAAACAAAATTTATTATATCCTCCTTTTTCGAGCTTTTTAAGTTAAGAAATTATCAATCAGTTCACAGTAATCAACCTTATTTAAAATGTCATTCTCAATATATAATATTGCCAAATTACATAATTTTTCTTGTTCAATTGAATTTCTAATACAATTTTTAATTCTTATAAGGATATTGAATAATCACTCTGCTGAACAATATATTTTTTAAATTATGTCCACATAATGGTAAGGTAGAAACTAGTCCTCTTTGAATCACTTTGTACATCAATACAGGAAAATTAAATTATTTTTTTTTTACAAATTGCATAAACAATTTGTGTATACAATTTATAAATATTAGAGATGAGAACAACAGGAAACTCACAACTCCAGATGATAGTGTCTTTACAGTGGAAGAAATCGCAAGGGAGTTCAGATACATCAAGTTAAACAAAGCCCTGGCTTGGACAATATCTCTGGGAAAATGATAAAACTTATCTTTGAAACTATCCCAGTTATGTTTCACACCCTTCTAAACAAGTGCCTCAAACTGGGTCAGTTCCCTACCTACTGAAAGCAGGCCTCTGACAAGCTTATCCAGAATACAACAAACCCATAAGCTCTGCCACTGATCTTTGACCAATCTCCCTACTCTCAATCTCTGGGAAAATTCTTGAAGCACTCATCATGGGCCGCCTTTCCTACCATTTTGAGAACAGGCTTCTTAATTTAATAATAATCAACATGGCTTCTTCATGGGCAAAGGTACATCTCAGCCCTTGACATTATTTTTGGATACATCAAGAAGGCCAAACATCACGGGGAACATACCATAATGATCTCCATTGACTACAAAGGGGTCTTTGACCATGCCTGGTGGCCTGCCATCCTCAATGCTCTAAAGTAGGCACATTGCCCCAAGAACATTATTACCTGGTGAAAAACTACGTAGAGAATTGGCAGGCCTGGTCAAAATTAAGAACATATACTGTAGTAGGCCTGTTACCCATGGTTGACCCAAGAATCTCTATGGGCCATTCTTATGGAATATCCTATATAACAGCACATTCAATATCCAATCCAACATCCCTACAAACTTCAACCTCTTTATAGGGCTATGCAGATGACACAGTCATCTGCTCTCATATCCAAATCAGGAAGTCCTTCAAACTAGAGGTAACATTGTTATGGAACATATACACCACTGGAATGTAAACAGGAAACTAATCATTAACTATGATAAGTGCTAGAGCATTGTGTTTCCAAAAAATAACCCACTACAGAAATGACATTTTCAAAATCTGTAAACACAAAATCAAGGATATTGACTCCATTAAATATTTGGGTCTCATCACAGACTACAAACTTCTATGCAAAGACCATATATGAGAAAACTACTAAACCAATTCATGTCCTGACATCAATCGCCAGAAATAAATGGGGCTTAGGCCCAAAGGCCTCCAGGACCATGTATATTGCACGTGTAGAACCTATTATGACCTATGGCTATGGGACCTGGGGATCCCATGTGAACAATGTCCATATCAACAGAAAACTCTTGTCTGCTCAAAGACTCTCAGCCATCTCTACCACAAAATCTTATAAGACAGCCCCCATAGACACCCTTCTTGTTATTGTAAACCTGATCCTTTTTTATCATTAGGAAGAAATACTGTAAACATATTCTTCTCAAGCTTCTGCATGACCTCATCTCCTATGAAGACTACTGTAACATCTCCTACCCTGTTGAAAACCTTGCCGACTACATCATTGCCAATGATTGTCACCAGATCCATTCCCTATACCTTCTCCACCCTGATACTACTCTCCATCACACTTTCAGCACAGACAATATTAACAAAAGACTGGAACAAAAATCTTCACCAACATTTCAAAGACTCAAACTGCGGTTGGTGTCTCTGTGGTCATCACCTCTGACACTGGACTGAACATCAACCAGAAAAACTTCTGCCTTGCCACCCATTCTTCAGTAAACCAAGCAGAGTCCTTAGCTATTCTCTGTGTCCTCCAGCATGTTCAGCAGAACTCCAACAACCCCATGTACATGCATTTTGAAATATTCAGTCCCAGCTGGGAAGCCCTTCAACAAATTAGGATTAAAAACCTTTGTCTACCAATTATAAATGACAGTATCAGCACCCTCCTTGACCTTCCACAAAACATCACTATCATGTTCAACTGGATTAGGGAGCACAGTGGCATTCCTAGCAATGAAAGGGCTGAGGAAAGCAATAACAAGCATTAATAAAATCTCTTATACAATGGTGCCACTCAATTGGATCACCACACAGCTTTGGAATATTACTTGGGATAGTTGGCAGACCAGATGGGAAAATATTACCACAGGACATTCTACTTTCCAGTTCCTGCCCAATATCAGAGACAGGAACTCAAATAACTATCTTCAACCATCATTTCCTCTAACTCATCTCTTAATTGGGCATGGCAATTTTGCCCAGTACCTTATACGCTTTTTCCATAAAAGCAATAACTGTGTCCCTGCTCTCTTAGGGAGAGTGATGACATCCACCACATCATTTTTCTCTGTCCTTTTTCACCACATGCAGAGGACTAACCTCATCAGAATAATCAGCAAAGGAAGCCTCTAGTGGCCCTGTAATCCCATGTTTTTATCAGTAATAAAAACATTAACATCAATCAACTAATATTTCCTTGCCTCCTTCAACCCTGGAAATCCTCTTAAGTATACTCCTGCAGCTCAACAAATTGTGGTTTTCAGTGATCCTTCTATAAAAAGTTTACCCATCTGTTCTGTGTAAAAGATTAACCATGGCATATCATCTGCATAATTGTGTATTATTCTGTGTCCACTGGTTATAGGCTTCTGCTTCCTGGCAACACATGTTGAACAATTAAAATACCCAACTGCACTACTACACTTTTGTCTGTTCTCCTTTTACCCCACCATATATGATCTGTAATGCGTGCAAATCCTACAATGTAATCATCAACCACACATTTGTATCTCTTCCTTTACAGATTGTTGAGCAACAAAAAGTTCCCTCCTCAGTTCCGTCCAAAGATTTTACTGTAATACGTATATAATTGTATCATTTTGTATATTATTGTACCTA